TTTTTTTGTGTTTCTTTTCTTTTTTATCTTTATAAAATTACAGTCTACCTACCTACCTATCAAGTTTTCATGTCATCAATATTTACATTTGGAATGTCTGCATAGCTGCCATGATAAGGATATATTGTAATTACTTTAATTATTTCTTTCTTTATTTACATTGTTCTGGTCTTCACTATTATAAATAATATGAAAAGTTTTGTGTATATACACTAATAACATCTCCGATCACTTTTAAAATAAATAACTGAAGTAGAAATAGTAAGTCAAGTAAAATGGTTATTGGTATTCACTAATGCCTCAATATTTCCTCAATTAATTTAGGTGAAAAATTCCTAAAAATTTTTGCAGTTGATTTTTCTAGATATTTCCCCAATATAGTCTTATTCCCAAAGTAGAAAAAAATGCATTAATTATCTTCAATAAAGATAACCAAAAAAAGCGTCTTTCCTGTCTTTTTTTTGTCATAATACTTTTTTAGTAGTTGAGGTGTAGTAGAATAAATCACCCTAGTGTTAGAACTGGAAGACTGATTTAATTTGAGCAAATCACATAACCCTAGGTATCGTAGTTTTCTCATCTGCAATGAGAGATAGAGTAACCTAACATAGGTAACTATGCAGGGTGTTATGATATTAAATAATAAATGCAATAACTCTGTAAAAGCAAAAAAGGGTCATCATAATATTTATTATTACTATTATTAAATGTTTTTTGACAATGAGAGCTTTTTGATTCCGAATAAGTCCCCAGAAAATACAAGTAGTTGCTTTTGGCTTCTCCAAAGTTACCTTGCTGAGAAATTAAAAGACACATTTAGTCCAGTGGAGTGACAGACTACCTGTGAAAATTTGCATCTAAATTCAAGCTACAAAATGCATGGAAATGTATAGAGTCCATGGAAACATGTTGCTGGGCAACATTCAGCAGCATGAAGTGCTTGGATGGGAAGGTTGCTTTCAGTCCTGAGAAGACTTTCAGGGGAAGAGGAGGCTTCAGGCAAGCACTGAAGAAAGAGGGGAACAAAATTTTGTTTTTATAAAAATATTTGGAAACTGTCACATTTGAAGGGGTTAAATGATTTGTGAAAAAGACTCATGAAATATACACACAAGTAGAACAGAGAGAAAGCAGAAACTTGGACTAAGTTGGAGCAGAGGACATTGCCAGGTTGGATAACTCAGAAGGGAAGATCTTTAAGAAGATGACCCGAACTCTGGCTTAAACAAATTGCAGGCAACTAAACCTAAACCAATAACCTAAAACAAGATTCCTTTCAAAGTTAACTGTGCATTTTCTATTACTATAGCCTAGTTTCCCCCTAGCACCTGTGTTCTATATCATCAGGAAAACTTGCCCAAACTGGTCACAGATGTCTTTTCCTCCATCCTGCTCCAGCCTTATTTATCTTTCCATACCTTTATGCATAAACAATCCTACACGAAATTGCTTCCTGACTGTACGTTTTTCTATTTTTTATTGACAGGTAAATGATTGTCCCCATTAACTTGGTATGTATCCAAGAACAGAATCCTTATCATCTCCTTCTCCTTGAGGTCTTCCGCTCAAAGCACTGAGTACCGATATGTTTTGACTGATTGATCTAACTCTCCATCTGTTTGATCTTGAATTTATCCATGAAGAGAGAAAACCTCACAGTGGCGTGTTTGAGTGAGTTTGTTTTCCAGGGTTTCTCCAGCTTTCATGAACACAGATTTATCCTCTTTGTGGCCTTTCTTACCTTGTACCTTTTAACCTTGGCTGGCAATGTCGTCATTGTGATAATCATCAGTATTGATCGTTACCTTCACACTCCCATGTACTTCTTCCTTGGTATGCTCTCCACTTCGGAGACTGTGTACACTTTGGTCATTGTGCCACGGATGCTCTCTAGTCTTGTAGGCCTAAGCCAATCAATCTCTTTGGCAGGCTGTGCCACCCAGATGTTCTTTTTTATCACTCTGGCCATCAACAACTGCTTTCTGCTCACAGCAATGGGGTATGACCGCTATGTAGCCATCTGTAACCCCTTGAGGTACTCAGTCATCATGAACAAAAAAGTATGTGCCCAACTGGTCTGGGGGGCCTGCAGCATTGGGCTGCTTGTGGCCATAATCCAGATTTCATCTGTGTTCAGGCTGCCTTTTTGTGATAGAGAGGTGGCCCATTATTTCTGTGACATCCGCCCAGTTATGAAACTCTCCTGTGCTGATACCACTGTACATGACATAATTAATTTTATCATCAGCTCAGTGGTTATTGTGGTGCCCATGGGTTTGGTCTTCATCTCCTATATCCTCATCATCTCCACCATCCTCAAGATTGCCTCTTCTGAGGGCCGGAAGAAAGCTTTTGCAACCTGTGCCTCCCACCTTACTGTGGTCATTGTCCACTACGGCTGTGCCTCTATTGCCTACCTCAAGCCCAAGTCTGAGAACACCAGAGATGAAGACCAGTTGATTTCAGTGACTTATACCATTTTTACTCCACTCCTTAACCCTGTAGTGTACACTTTGAGGAACAAGGAGGTCAAGGACGCCCTTTACCGTGCTATTGCTAAAAAACGTCTTGCCTAGCATTTTTGGCAGTTTGACATACAGTAGTCCCTCCTTATCTGAAGTTTCAGTGTATTGTGGTAAAATTTGGTTGGAAAATATTAAATGAAGAATTCCAGAAATAAACAATTCATAAGTTTAAATTATGCAGTGCTCTGAGTAACATGATAAAATCTACTGCAGTCCTGCTTCACTCTGTCTGGGACATGAATCATCCCTTTGTCCATTGCATCTGCATAGTACATGAGCACCCACCCATTAGGGTATACAGTACACTAAGACATCTTGTGGGAGAGAAAGAGCTCACAGCCACGTAACTTTTATTATAATGCATTATTATAATTGTTCTGTTTAATCATTAGTTGTTGTTAATCTCTTACTAACTTACAAAATAAATTATATCATAGGTGTAGGTAAATAGGAAACACAGCAGATAATTCAGTACATACTGAGTTACAAACATATGCTGGGATCTTGGAACATGTTCCCCCCAAATAAACGGGGGTGTGCTGTACAGACTGTCATAGTCTGGGTATTTTTGTAAGCTCACAAAATTGATCTTATCATTCATCCTCTACCCCAAGAGACTTGCAAAATTTGGTGGTATGGTTGCATTAGAGAAACAGGAGTGTTCCTAACTTAACTCTTGTTCTTACTGTAAGCTTATTTAGTATTACTTTGCAGTGCTAAAGATTGAACACAAAGCCATGGTTATATGAGGCAAGTGCTCTACTACTGGCATGCACTCCCCACCCTCTCACTTTTATCACCATTCTCCTGGTCCTTGGGTTAGTCTCATGGTTACCACCAGGTTAATGGTCAAATGCTGCTTCCAAGATGTAAAGCTAGGGGAAATCACAAGCCAGTGGACAGCTGATTGTTAGTAGTTGATTGATGGTAGAAAAGTGAGCTGTCAAATTCCCACTTGAAGTGATGGGTGAAAGATCAACCTAAATGTCAAATAGATACTGAACTCTAAAACTTCACAGAGGATGTGGTAGGTGTACAGGATGTGTTAGAAACACAGCCAAGAGTACTTTTTCCACTTATCATCACTTTCTCCTTTGGACAGTGACAAAAGTAACAGACCCTGACACTCTAGAAGCAATGTTATCAGCTCTGAACCTTTTTCACCTGGCTTGGGGACCCATAAATTTTTTTCCCCTAATTTTGTTGAAGTTCACAATAGGATATTTCCTCAGTGAACCTGGATTATCAGTATGTTTAATATGTTTAATATTATTAGCAACTTTGTCACATCTGACCTCTGAATTTTACTACACATATTGTACATGTTTTTTGTGGGAGCAACACCTTTTTTACTGATTTTACAAGGAATATCTGGCAGCCTTTTTTGAAATTTCATTCATTAATGACATCTTTCACCTAAGTCTTGCTATCACAAACCTAGAAATTAACCCATGTTTTTCATTTTTTCTGTGTAGAACATGACATGGTATCTGTGTCTTGTTTCTACCCTCTTCACTGCTACACTGACGGTCTTACTTTCTGTGAATTTTGGGGTATCTGTTTTAAACTATAAATGCTTTTCTAAACAAGAGTCTTGGAGTTTCCAAAGTCCCTTTGTTATTATCTTCTAAAGGGAAGGGTTAGCCTGACTTGTGAGAAAGGTTGAGGATTTTAGAATTATTTGGCCTAGAGAAAAAAAGAGGCAGAATTTTCAAGACGTTGTCTAGTCCAAAAGTGCTGATGTAGTAGAAAGAAAAAAAGAAAAAGAAAGAAAGAAAGAAAAAGAAAGAAAGGAAGAAAAGAAAGTTCTCCCACATACTAGTACTTAAGGGACCCAGTGAAAAATGTATTAAAACTCTACTGTTGTTAAACAAAGAGCCTGGAATCCCTGGTGATAGAAGGCTAAGGAGGGAAATCTGCATGTTTTTGGAGTTGGAAGAATAAAAGATTTGTCTCCTCTGAACACCTACTTAGAAGAGTATACCCAGAGAGCAGGGTGACAAAGAAAGTCTCCAGGACAGTCTATCTTTGTCTTTGTGGGTGTTTCCCTGAGGATGACACAGTCCTTTCTGGGGTAGGTACAGAGGAAACACTTTTCATAATCTTGCTCTCTGAAGTAGCCCATTCTTTAGAGCTCTTCCAGTAAGCACGTTGTTTCCCTAGGTTGCTGAATTTGAGTGTCTGGCATCCCCGTAGGTGTTCTCACAATGGCACAGGGTTTATCAGATTGGTACCCAGTAGTGGAAACAGCATTTTCCCCTGGGTTTCCAGGGTTTAGTCCTACAGCAAATTGTGGTACAGTCACCCAAAGTAATTTTTGCAACAATAAATAACATACATCGGAGGCTTATTCATCTCTTGTTTTTTTTTTTTAATGTAGTTTATACCATCTTAACAGAGCCAGAAATTAATGTCTTTCCTTTCACAGAGGATGTGATTATCTTGAGCACAAATCATGAGGGAAGTGAATAAACCTCAGGCCCACAGACTGGGTTTAGTCACCACATAGCCGTTTTCCTCATACTGCAGGGTCTTCCAGTCAAGGACATTGCCACCATCACAGCAGCCGCACATGTCTTTTAGAGGGAGCACACGGTCCCACAAAGAAAGATCCCATATCTCTCCAACAAAGGATTGTTTGGCATCAAAATTTCCCCCAAAGGAATCTTGCTCTTGTCCCAGGATGATCTTTGCATCAGCCCCCACAGTGTACCCCTTTCGGATGCCCTTTCTCCCCAAGGGCTTCCCATCCACCCAGAATTCAGCGATCCCAGAGGCAGACTCCCAGCTCACACAGATGTGCCTGGGGTTGTAAGGGGAGGAGGGGCCATTGAAACTGACCCTAGAATTCCCAATGTACAGCTGGTATTCTCCTGTCTTTTCAATAAAGAGAAGCAGCTCATTGTCCTGGGAGCGTGTGTTGTAGGAGAAGAGGCTGTAGGGGCGGGTGAGATCCGTGAAGGACTTCAGACACAGCGTGAAGCTCTGCAGGGGCTTCCTCACTGCGGGTATCAGGGAGACATAGGCAGTGGCTGACTCTTGAGGGAAAATAAGCACCTTCCTTTTTACATCTGCAGAGGAAAGACAGTGTGACAAAAGCTCTGTCAACACTCTTGTTTGATTTTCTCTTACCTTAAACTGCCTTATCCTGACAGTGCATCAGGGTTCACAGACTTCCTGTACATGCATTATCTCAGTTTATAGGCTACCATCAATATTAAAAAAGTTTTAGGTCAGCTATTTTGTTATAAATTGAAATTAAAGATATCCTATATTAGTCTGGTATGACTTTACACCTGTAATCTCAGCACTACGGGAGGCTGAGGCAGGAGATCCCAAGTACTAACCCAACCTGGGCAACTTAGGAAGATCCTGTCTCAAAGTAAAAAATAAAAAGCTGGGGATACATCTCAGTGAGAAGGCCTTGGATTCAATACCCAATACTGGAAAAAAAATAGTCATGTATCAACCCCACTTCTGTCTTCCTTGTAGATCACATCTGGATGAAAGAGAAAATATCAGTCACAGAAAATGAAAAGCAACTGACTTGTTGGTTCGCTGACCATAATGGGTAAAGCATGTAGCACTCCATATTTTCCCACCACTGATCAGGTTCTGAGATTTCTCCCATGGGATACTTGTGGCTGAAATTAGATCTGATTTTAATGGCTTATCTTGGCTATGATGGACCAGCACTTGTGGTTAATGCAAAGTCTCAGGAATAGAATAATGTGCAAACCACATGGCCCAGACCATTACTGCACCCCCGGCTCTCCATTCTCTGTGGCAGCTCCTGGGTGCCAGTTCAGGACAGTTTTCCTACTGTTTGCCTGTGGCTGCAACATCAAGATTATGGAATTACTTAGCATTGACTAATTTCCTCTTAAAACCCCCAAGAGAAGAAGAGGGCATAATCATTATAAGAACTAGTATTTTATTGCTCAGGAAAGTAAGTTTAACAAATACTATGGTCTGGAAAATAAATTAAAGAATAATGACTAACTGAATCAAGGGAGACATAGCCTAGAATGTGAAGTCTTGAATTGAGTTAGTTTTGCTTCATAGTGGGAAATGGAAAAACAGCATAAATTCCTCTTTCCTTACATACAAGGGCTGCTTAAGAAGTGCTTATCCTGGACAAAGGATAGGAAACAGAACACTTAGGGAGAGGATGCCAGGGAGAGACTATGTGTGTTTGTTTGGGGAGAGCAGGCAGAGAGAGAGAGAAAGAGAGAGAGAGGGAGAGAGAGAGGGAAGCAGGGAGGGATGGGGAGAGAGAGGGAGAGAGAGAGAGAGGGAGGGAAAGAGAGAGAAGCAGCTAAACTGTCAATACAATGGAAACTAGGAGGATAGGAAAGGAAATCATGCATTTATACTCTGATCTAATTATCTCTGTGCTTGTGATTTGTAATCTTGTCGGCACACAAACCTGGAGCAAAATAACATGGTTAACCAGAGAGTGACATTGTAAAAACTGTATTGCTGATAGTAATACAATAGAGAAATGAATGTATCAAACTTCAGAAGATGAGTTTATCCTTAGTGGCAATAATAGAAAGGTGGAGGTTGGGGGTGTGTGTGCACCAAAAACTGCAGCTTTATTACAGCTAATAAAACAGCTATTGTAACATTTGCCTGTTGCAAAGTACATTTTGCCTTTAACTGTTCTCACCTGTGCTAGGTGGATGTAGTCTTTACTCCCATTCTATAGATGAAGAAACTGAGGCTCAGAGTTTAGCAACTTCACTAAACCTCATTCAACTGTGTGGGAGAAACTGGTTCTCTGATTTAAAGTTCAAGCTACTTCTGAGATTTCCTATTTCCTCTTGTGCTCCTCAGACTAAATGCTTGAGAGAGAGACTTCTCTAGCAGAAATCTTGCAGCTTTTTTCACTCTTTCAGGAGAACAGCAGTGGCGTTCCCATACTATGAACAAAGCCCCTGTTCCTCTTTCTCCAGCTCTGGGATTCATCTGCATCCATGGTAGCTTTAAAAATATGACCTAAAATAATTCTCCTCTTCTTGGGTATGGGCTGACTCACTTGTAACGAATAGAATACAGCAGGAATGAGGTATGCGCTTTCCAAGATTAGATACTGAGAAAGCTGTAGCTTCTGCGCAGGGCACTTTCCCTCTCTGAGTTGGATCACTTGTCAGAGGAAGAGCCAGCTGCGAGCCATGTGTTGTTCTATAGAAAGGCTGGAGCTGTGGCGAGGAATTAACAGGGGCCTCCCACAGTACAGAGTGGGGAACTAAGGCAACACAACATCTAGGGAAGAGCTGAATCCCGACTCTATGTGCACGTGAGGTTGGAAACAGTTCTCTCCTAGCAGAGCCTTCCGAAGGGAGCACAGCTTTGGGTGATCGACTACAACATCAGAATCATCTGCTAAGCCACGCCCCTTTGAAAACCCACAGAACATGTGAGATAGTAAATGTTTGTTGTCTCCCGTGGCTACATTCTTGGATAAATTCTCAGGCAATGATAATAAGTTATACACCACCTTTCATTCACGTCTTCCTAAAAGGAGTAGCAGCAACAACACCAGCAAAAGGTGCTATACCTTGACCCCCTGGGACTCAAATGTCCCTCCCAGTCCAGCTAGGTACCTACCTGACTGGGTCACACTCGCTGAGAGGATGGAGAGGAGCAGGGTACCTAGAAGGAGCTTCTCCATTGTGCTCTTGCTGGTTCTGTAGGAGTAGCGGAAAGAGGAGCAGCAGTGGTCTAGGTACAGAGATGCTCACTGCTTGGCTATTTATCCTGTGCTCATGGAGGTGAAGCCTTTGTTCTGGCAACAGGAGGCAAAGTTATAAATGATAAACATTAACTGAACCAGGATATTGTTTAAAAATTAACCTTATAGGGGGCTGGGGATTTAGCTCAGCGGCAAAGCGCCTGCCTTGCAAGCGCAAGGTCGTGAGTTTGGTTCCCGGTACCAGAGAAAAACCAAAAAAAAAAAAAAAAATTAACCTTATATTTACTTTTAGATCTATTGTTTTCACTTTATGTCTTTCTTTTCCCTTTTAATTATTCTATTTCATCTGAACTGTCCTGTTTATGGGTCCCTCTATCCCTTCACTCCAAGTAAAGCAGCTCAGTGTCCTTTTGAAGGGACACTTATGCCATTGTTTGCTAAGAAAATAATGGCAGTCTGCCTCTTAAGTGTCCCCCACAGGTTCATGTGTTTAAGATTATTCTCCAGGTTGGTGCTACTGGAAGGTGGTGGAGACAATTAAGAATGAGACCTAGTGGGAGGTTTTAAGTCTCTGAGGGTATGTTCTTGAAAGGATTGTGTCATGTCAATCTTTTTGTCTTTTTCTCTCTTTGATTTCTGGCTGCTATGAAGTAAGCAGCTTAATCTGTCCTGTGCTCCCAGCCTGGATGTACTGTTTCCCCATGAGCCCCACAACAATAGTGCCTACCAGCCATGGACTGAAAGCTCTGAAGCTATGAGCCAAAATAGGCCTTTCATCTTTTTCAATTGATTGTCTCAGATATTTTGTTATAGCAACAGAAACCTGATTAATATACTACCTACTGTTAGGACTGGAAGATGAGTATATTTGTGGAATTGCTGGAGGAACCACTCTCCATCTTTTCTTTAAGGGCTGGGGTGTTATCATAAGAGGGCCTGCACTGATTCAGATGGATATGACATTCAACAGAGCTGCAAGATCCCTTGAATGTGACAAGTGGAGATGTGGAGCTTGTGGTCTCAATGATGAAGTTGCCAAGTTCTCTATAAAAGAACTCCTAGGTGTTAAATACTAAGATGGTGCCCTTTACCTGGAACCAGGCCCTCATCAGGAAATTAGGGGTTAATTTGGTACACTGAGCCCATCTCAAGAAGTCATGAAATAATGCTTAGAGTCTGCAAACAATCTATGTCAGTGATACCAAGCCTTTTAGAGATTGAAATGATGCAAACAGCCCACTGTAGCATGTGTGCCCTAGGTTCACCACCACTGATCTATGTTGTGATCTATGTTTCCAGTGTATCAACCTGACTATTTACAGATTGTTTCTTTGTCTCCAATGAAGATTTGGTGGAAGTTGCTTTATTGGTTTCTTCTTTTATTCATCACACAGTATAAAATGTTAAAAACCTAAGGACATGTGGGCCAGGTATGTTTTTCCTACAGTTTAACCTTCTACACTTATCACTATGATTGTACTTATACTAAAAGCTCCAAAACTATTTATGGAATGGCTTGCTCTAGAGTTTCCAGTTCAGTGAGAAGAACTGAAAGAAGCTGTATGAGTTGAGGTTCTCAGTTACAAAGAACAAAAGCCACCAACACTGTGGCAGTCTATTTTTAAATTATGCTGTGCAACAAACTACATTAAAATTCAGTTTACAAAATAACAAACATTTATTTAGTTCATGAGTCTGTGGATTTGTGATTTGGATTTGGTCGTTCCTTTAGTTTCAGCTATTAGAAATAATAGCATATGAGTCAGAAACACAGTGACTGGATGAAAAGATGGTAAGTCTCATCTTCTTTGTTTGATAAAATGTGTCTTGATTTCTCTCTTTTAATTTTAAAAATACATTCATAGTATCATACAACAACAATCCCTAGAGTCTTGAAAATACTTTTTTATGGCATATTTTTGCACAATATAAGATAAGAATGGTACTGTCTTAAAATATGTTACTGATGTCAGTATATTACAGTTAAAGTTTACATTATAACAGTTAAATGGATCAGTCTTTAATAACATCTGTAACACATAGCAAAAAAGACAAACATGACATACATTAAATAAATGTTTCCTATTATTGAATTAACCTTAAATTAATTATGAAATAAAGGACAGAATTTATGGGCAGATTCAAGATGATATTTATACATCACATTTAGCTTGAGGATAAAAATGCATGCATAAAAATGAAGATTGAAATTTAACTACTTTTTGTTGTATAAGTGTCTTAGTTACTTTTCTCATTGCAAAATGAAATTACCAATACCCAGAGTTAAAGGAAAGAAGGAAGGTTTTTTGGTTCCCAGTTTGTAGAGGTTCCAGTGCACAATTGGCTGGATCCAAGGCAGGGTGGCTTGGCAGAGGGGCATAACAGAGGAAAATAGCTCATGACCTCCACAAGACAGCACAAGCAACAAGAGAGAGGAGACAATTCTTTCTGTCCCTTATATTATATGCGGGCTACCCACCCTAGGTTGGGTATAGCATTCACACCCTTAGAGCTATGCCAAGCCAATCAGTGGAGTGATTTACTAATTACACACCCTTAATTCCAGCACCATGCTCTCTGGATTCAGCCACTTCTGAAAAAATTTCTTTTAAAGCTGCATGACGTTTTGTGGGGATATCTAGACACAAATCATAACAATCAGAAATGTGCAAAAATTTCTTTGATTATTCTGACTCTTTTTCTGACATTTAAAGCCTAAAAACCTCCAATCTTTAAAAATAATGTTCAGCTTAATTTCCAAATGCTTACTTTCCAAGGATTTAATTAAGTGCTTAAAAACAGCTTGATGTGTTATAGAATATTTATTAGATTAAGATATTTCTGGCAATCCATATGAATAAATTCCAAAACCAGGATACATCTATAAATTTAAAATAATACCACATATTTATACCAAGATATGTACTAAGGTGCACACATGGAGAGGAATAATCCATATCCATTAAATATAGTGGTCATCCTGAAGATAGAGGAGGTAAGGGGAATGAACGGGAGTAAATTTCCATAAATGCTATTACTTATAAAAAAGTGACAGGAAACCATAGTGACAATATAATATGGTAAATAAATAGTATCTAATGTATAATTTTAAATTTTTTTACAAATTTAAATTCTTCATAATTGTCTCTAACTTGATAATTTTCGTGTGAATTTTCTGAGTGATCATTTTTGCATTTCCCATTAAATTAGATTTTAATATGAATGTTTCTTATACCTCCTAAGTGTGGCCAGTGACATATTAGAGGTATCTATGAAACAAATCCAAGACTAAGAATAAAAACCTTGTAAAATAGTATAGTGACCAAAACTGTAATGTTAAACTCCCAGAGTGGTTGAGTGATGAACAGGTGGTTCTGAGCCCTGATGAGAGACTTGCTCACCTCCTATCCACTTGGAGGTCTCAGGAGGTTCCATTGTCAAGGAACAAGGTGTAGAAGCAGAAGCCTTCCCTTGCTTGCATGTCAAAGCCCACACGAAGCCACACAGTGAAGGGTGTCAATCATCTGATGTGAAAGTGTCCTCCATACTACTGCATTGTTCCAAGCCCTAGAAGCATAGATAAAAGGCATCAGTGCATCTTCATAAAGACACAGAGTCCTTTTCCTGTTCTGACAGGTCATCTCCCTCGGGAGAAAACAGGAAATGGGAAGTTGAAGGAGACAGGATAGGCACACTACCTCAAACAAGTGCTCAAGGAGACAGAAACATTTTTATTCATTTCTCTATACATTCATCATTTAAACTTGTCCCCTGTCAGCTGGAATAAGATTCTGTCCTTGACAGAAGAGTACAAGAAGCCAGGTGGTGAATTTGTAACCTCATTGGGACTGATGCAATCCCTGGGGACCTCTTAACTCTCAGAATTCATTTGGGAGGCTCAGGTAGGTAAGAGTCCAGTAAGGGGGAAGCTCTCAACCTAGAAAAATGATGTAGAGACATTGACAGATTTTTATGGAAGGATATTTTAGGATGCGGTTGGAAAAGGGTGAGAGAAAAATGAGACAAATGACTTTTGAGCAGTAGGGACCCCTAAAATCAGAGAGAAGAGAGCTGGCTTAGCTGCTACATGATAGTAACATTAACCCCTTTCTGACTGTGATCTTCAAGAAGTTATATATTTTCATGAGTTTCAGTTTTCTGTCTCATAAAATGGGAGTTTAAAAAAACAGCTACCTCATAGCATTGTTATAAATACTATATGATATTAATTATGAGATTAGGTATTTTAGATGTTATATAAATACTAGTAGTTAAAAAATAAAAGTTCAGGGCTGTATATGAAAAAGTTCAGGGAATATAGCTCAGTGGCACAAGCACCTGCCTGGCAAGTGCAAGGTCCTGAGTTTGATTCCTGGTACCCCCCTCAAAAAAAAAAAAAATAGAAGTTCAAATTTCTGTATGATCTGGACAGACATGAGCTATTCTCTTTTCTCACAGCTTTCCCAAAATAACAAAGGGAAAGATAGGCGGTAGGAATTAGGGAGATAGATCTTTTGCAAATAGGAAGGGTGCCCAGAGATAGAGGGAGTGAGGAGGGAGAAATGGGAAAAGGAAATAAAAAGAATGAAGATGGGTTAATTTCATAAAGCTTCTATGATAATCTCACATATGTCCATATTCCCCAGGAGGAATATAAACATGTACTGTAAACGTGCACTGATAAAAAAAAAATGTAAGTGATGTTTTATAGCTATCCTTTAAATGTGAGTTCTGGTCAAAGTACAAACTCTCTAGAGAAATAATTAGTGACAGACAAATAATTAGGGTCTTCTGAAAATCCCATTCATCACGATCTAGTTTTAGGAGATAAAAACCTGGTTTCATCTTTATGTAGGTAATGTCGGTAAGGATCATATAATGAATAATATTGGGGAAATCGGATATCTGCATGCAGAAAGATGAAATTTGGCCTTGTCTTACACTATACACAAAGATCAACTCAAAATGGATCAAAGATT